GGGAGAGAACGGCGAAACTAATTGCAAAGACGCGCGTGTCGATTCATAAGAAACACAGAGCATTAAAGACCTGTATGATAGAAAATGAGATGGCGTTGGAAAAACGATTCAAACCGATCGTGGAACCGTTGAAACAAATCGTTGAAAACGCCAAACGAAATGAAGCAACCGGTATTATGAAGAAGAAACGAAAAGATAAACGTGAGCGCGACGACGACGACGACAACGACAACGACGACAACGACAACGACGACAACGACAACGATGACAACGACAACGACGACAACGATGAAATTTCCACACAAATTACACCGCAGCGTCCTCCATGGAGCAAACGAACAAAACGATTGAACGTCGTGTCGACGATCCATTCCACGCCGATAGAATCGCAACAATTATCCCCGCAGGAAGTCTTTATCGGTGATGATTCGTCACTTGAAACGTCTGTCAGACAGGTTCTAAAGATACCGCAAGGTCGTGAGAGGTTGCACAGTCAGTTAGGACCGTTGGGACAAATATACGTGAATGCTCTTCTTAGTGGTGATAAAAAGAACGAAATCGATCACGTATACGGTGTTTATTTCGATGAAAACGGTACGATGCTGGGCGATAAAACATTCGACGTAGATTCGGACGACACCATAATCGTAGACGGAGTAAGATACAAAGGTACATCGGGCCTGTACGAGTTAATCTTCAAGAGAATTCCCGACGATGCTATCTACACCGAGAACGATAAAGAAACGTATAAAAGTATATTGTTGGCAACGAATGCGCACAGACGTCGTCATAATGCTGAAATGCCTGTTAAAAGTAACAAGGGGCACAAATACAAATACATCATTGGTCCGCTCGTAGGTGCTCACAGAACCGGTAGTACGAGTACAGGTTCGGGTGTACCATCCACTATGAGATTAAATGATAACAAAATAGATTACGTTCATTGGGACGACCCTAACGAACTGGTAGATCGACTTCAGTTGCTCGATGCTTCTCGTCAAGCAGGCAACAACGCTCACGATAACGAGATATTGTCGATACTCGAAGAACTTCGCGAAGCTGGGTTGATTATAAATTGAATCGTTGCGACGAAAACTGCGACAGTAGTCAAATTTGCGCGAGTTCGATATGATGTCCGTGAATAAATTTGGTATGCCTATGAGGAGAGATGATAGCGATGAAATCGAAAGGTCGCGATCGTCGATCGAATCTTTATAAAATTACGTACACGACAGTGGGCTCTGTCTGAATCCGGATCACTACGACGCGAAGGAACGAAAAATAGAACACTTAGCCGCACCGGAGTTTGACACCGACGTGGTAAACAAAAGCTACATCGAACGCAGTCTTCGAAATTCGCGGAACGAGATCGAGGAATCATTTAGAACGATAAAGAAAGATACGCAGAAAGACATCTCGAAAGTGCGCAACGATGTGGAGAAAGTAGGAAGAAACGTGGAAGAAGTCGCGAAAAGCGTGACGAAGGTGTCCGCTGCTATCACACGTCTGAATGGAAATGTAACCGATCTGTACCTACAAATGAAAAATGTAGTGACGAATGAAACGTTAGAGAAATCATTCAAAACGACTGGGAGAGATATGATCGTACGCGCACTTAAAGATACGCAGGAAGACATTTCGAAGATGCAAAGCGACGTGGAGAACGTGCGAAACAACGTGAAAGAGTGCTCGAAAAGTGTGAGCACGCTATTAACGAAAGTGACTAACGAGATTTTGCATCTGACTCGAGGTATAACCGATCTGAATC